TCAGTCAGAACTGATGAAGCCTCTTGGATGAGAGGTGAAACGTCTTCGACCTAAAAACCTAGTCCAAGTTTGACCACAGCTGCTGCTGTCAGTGATGAACTACTAAATAATGAAATGATGTCAAGGATGATGTAAGTGAATGCTTTGAGTTTCCTGTGTAAGTCCACAAGAACGTTACTTTCCTAAGAGAAGAAGAAGTTTTGCTTTGCCAGTAGATGGAGCTCTGAGGTTACGTATGAGATCTGCTCCCGTGGTTGTAGATACTGCTCATACTTCATAGTACATCACTCCTAGCATTTGTTACTACTACCTCTACTTTGCATAGGACTGTCAATATCAAACACATACCAATAACAAGGACATTAATGCAGTAGATACCACACATAAAAAAGCTTCATTTGTGTCACCAGACAGGCAGGCTCACTACTGGACTGTATGGTTTTACAAAGATTACAAGCTCGCAACAAAATAAAAGTGTCTGGCTTTAAACTAATGAATTTTCTTACCTTCCACTGTGAGTCTTGCAGAGCACGTACACTCTCCCACCTGCACACTATACGTGCCCTCATCAGTTAGCGCCACCTGCTGGATGATCAGTTTACGATAACAACCTTCACTGCAGATCTCAAAGCGCCCTGAGGGCAGTATGACATTGCTGCCTTTGTACCAGCGGATACTGCATCTGGGGTTGGACACCGTGCAGTCTAGAATCACACGGGTCTTCTCAAGGACAGTCTTATCCTGCAGAGGTTTAACAATGTTGACAGGAAGCTCTGAAAAGGAAGAAATAAGAGTTTCAATTTAGGACATAAGGTATGTTTGATGACTGTAATAGGCTGGTATTATTCATGAACAAGCATGTACACATACTTTGAAACCCCTAACAGGATTTTTGTATTATTACAGTACCTTTCACCTCCAGGTAAGCAAAAGATTCACCATGTCTGGCAACGAACTTGATCTGTCCAGAGTCCTCAGCTCGCACATTGCACATGAGAAGAAAATGTTTGGTCCCTGAAATAAGAAGAAAATTGATGAAAGGGCTAAAGAACCTATAAGTGGCTCCATTCTACTGGCTAAAGATAAACAATTCCAGACACATCGTTTTTTTCCATTTCCATTTATCGGATGTTATTTACATATGTCTCTTCTTTAGGTCGTCTATTAAAATAGGTCTGCATGGTGTAGAGTAGCCCATGAGGCTGTTCTTCTGTCTTGTCACTTCACTTCAGTCTTGTCACAATGCACAAAGAAATGTTTAGGACTGTGAATTACACATTCATGACTTTGGTGCTGACCTTCTTGGCGGATCTTGATGCTGCTGGTGGGTTGTATCTTCTCCCCATTTTTGTACCACTCTCCTGGCACGTCCTCCACTGAGATTTCACAAAGAAACACAGCATTCTGATCTTCCTGGATGTGCAGATCCTTAAGGCCCTGCAGGATCAGCAGCTCACGCTCTGCCAGAAGAAACAGCATTAAAAAACTATTTGCAACAGGCATCATTAACATAATCAGATTTAAAAAGGTAAAAAGAGAGAGATTTTGAAGATGAAATTTCTTGCTTCTTTCTTGCCAGAACTGGAGTCTGTGCTATGATTATTCACCTCCCAAAAATACTGTAAATGTATAAAATTAAACTGACAATACAAACATGTTTTTACACAGAGGTTTGAGGTTTGATTCCTAGGCAAATGGCAGTGCTGTGCTTTACTTTCTAAGCTCAAAGGCAGGTTGAACATGCAGGGATATCTCCTTTGTAAATGCAGTTCATATTTTTAAAACAGTGCCGTAACACATTTGTCATCACAACAGTATGCATATTATAATAAATACTACTGCTGTTGTACTACTGGTAGTACTATGGTAACAGCTGCAGCTACTACTTCCAATAACACTAAATGAGAGCAAAATACTGCTTTTAGTTACTCTGACAGTCATCCCATGCTATAATGTCACACCACTGTAAAACCAGTGGCTGTGTCTGTAACTTAAACAGCAGAATTTACCATAAACCTCCACAGTGCAGGATGTAGTAGTATCTCCAGCATCACAGGTATACCTGCCAGAATCACTGACATGACATTTCATGATCTGAAGAAAGCGTTTTCTTCCTATAGCATAAATGCGTAAGTCTTTGCCAGGCTTCATCTCAACCCCATTCTGAAAAGAACAAACAAACAATCAAACAAAACTTATTTTCCAGTTAGGGCAATTAGTTCAGGGCAATTAGTTCAAACAACTCCTGCTG